TCTTTTAACATATGAACAGTCTCTGGCAGTCTCTTGAACATGAAAGCATTCTCTGACAGTTTATTGTAAGATCTAAACAGTCTCCCTGAACAAAAGAATGAATTGTAGCATTCTCTTGGAACCTAGTAGCAGTAATAATTAGGGTAAGCTTTCCTGCTACTGAAAAACTGAAAACAAAAATTAATTAACTATATTTTCCCCAGACTGACCCTGTTTTATTCTGATCACTAAGAAATAGAAACAAGTTAAACCAAACCTATCTAACCACTGACTTCTGAGATGGGCTTCATACATTCCAGGGTAGAATCTCATTTCTATTTTCTCAAGTGGGTCCCAGGTAACCGAGTCATATTTATTTTAATATCCTTTAAAGGATAAGTACACTTTGACACAAAGCTCACTTATCATTCTCCATGCCCCACTTCTACTGACCTACTCCCCTCCCAAGATGTAATGTATACTTGCCTGCATTCTACGGCAAAGGCCTGCCAACAATGTTGTAAGCCTCCAGTTGAAATATTACTTGTGCTGGCCTGAGTAGTTAATCCCTAATAGTTTGGAAGGAGTCAATAGACACTCAATATACAGTCCCATTAATGTCTGTGGAAATTGACTTAAAATTTTGGCTGGAGGCTTATAAAATTGCTGTTGGCTGTGACTGTGGTCTGAGACTGTGCAATGCAAGTAAGTAATAACCTGGGCAGCACAGTGGATAAATGGCTAGCACATTTGCTTAGCAGCACTAGGGTTGTTGGTTTGAATCCCAACCATGGCACTACCTGCCTGGAGCAAGGGCGGACTGACAACTCATGGGGCCCCCAGGCAATAGGGGATCATGGGGCCCTTGTGTCCTTGCCCAAACTCAAAAAAGCCTATGAAAAAGGTACCAGGGGCATCTCATGGGGTCCCCTACTGACCCTGGGCCCTCAGGCAGAGACCTAGTTTCCAAATGGTCAGTCCGCCCCTGGCCTGGAGTTTGTATGTTCCCCCTGTGGCTGCGCCGGTTTCCTCTCACACATTAAAGGCATGCTGGTAGGTTAATTGGCTCCTGTCTAAATTGACCCTAGTATGTATGAATGTGAGTTAGGTTCCTTAGACTGTAAGCTCCTTGAGGGTTAGGGACTGATGTGAATTTACAATATATATATGTAAAGTGCTGTGCAAATTGATGGTGTTATATAAATACTTGTGATAAATAAATCATCTGGGAAGGGGAATGGTGTCTTACTGTAGGTTGGTGGAGGACAGGCTGAAAGGATGAGTGCATTTTGTGTACAGTAAAAATGCATTGATTTTTAGGTCTAGTATGGCTATGCTGCCTAACACAGGACCTTGCTCACAAGACTGTCTGGACTGAACTACAATTTTTTTTGTCACATAAAGCAATGAACATATATGTGTTTCAGATGCCCATATAGTAATTGATCTAGTGTTCTGAAGATTTTACTAGTGAGTGGGAAAATATTCTAGCATCCTGAATGTGCTATAATAAGCTTCCCTGCACTACTGTGGAGAACCGTTCAGTGTTCTAGGCAATAAGCGTTGATGTGGTGGAAAGTAAGGGGGCTGATTTTGGCCAAAACTATGGAGGATGCAACCCATACTTTCCCTCTGGCTGTGCTCTGTGTTAAAGGTAAGCATCAATGTTGGAGAAAGTCGAAAGTGGTACAGAGAGGTGCAGTCTGAATATCCCAGTCCATAACTCACACCGGAGTCTGTGCATATTTAGCTACACTATTGAAAAATGTCTAAAAAACCCTTATGTTGAAAACAAAAAAAAAATGTCCTGGAAAGTAGGTATTGATGAATATTTAAAGATATATGAAGGGATGTAAGGTAAAATGATGACACAAGAAAGAAAAGATAAGAAGGCAAGGAAATATTTTGTGTCTAAGGTGTATTTTTTAAAATAGCATGCAAAAATAGATTTTCACAACTGTTCACATACAATCACCAGCCTCTTTATTAGGTACACCTGTTCAGATGCTTGGTAACACAAATTGCTAATCAGTCAATCACATGGCAGCAACTCAATGCGTTTAGGCATCTAGGCATGGTAAGGACAACTTGCTGAAGTTCAAACTGAGCATCAGAATGAGGAAGAAAGGGGATTTAAGTGACTTTGAACGTGGAATGGTTGTTGGTTCAAGATGGGATGGTCTAAGCATTTCATAAATTGCTGATCTACTGGGATTTTCACACACAACCATATCTGGAGTTTACAGAGAATGGTGTGAAGCAGAGAAATTATCCAGTGAGCAGCAGTTTTGTGGATAAAAATGCCTTGTTGATGTCAGAGGTCAGAGGAGAATGGGCAGACTGGTTCAAGATGCTATCATGTAAATATGGACCAAAATCTCTGAGGAATGTTTCCAACACCTTGTTGAATCTATGCCACAAAGAGTTAAAGCAGTTCTGAAGGCAAAAGGGGGTCCAACCCGGTACTAGCAAGGTGTATCTAATAAAGTGGCCGGAGAGTGTATATGCAATGTTACATATATGTATGTATGCAGTTAGAATGTTACTAAACCCACAACAGAAAAATCAGTCAGTATATGCAGTAAAGCATGCTTGTTATACTCACTGTGGAACCTAAGGGGTTAATCCTCCGCATTGTTTAAAAAGGCAGTTTGATCCTGTCTTCTCTGATCATTCCCTTCTTTTACTGTCTCCAATCCATCTTCCATAGTACAGAGCAGCAGAGCACATGTTCTATTTGGTGTGTATTGCTAAAGAGGTTTTTTTGTTTTTTTGGGGAGGGTGCATGTGGTCAGCACAGGGCCAATCAACACTGTCCAGACAGAGGATCAGGGGTCATGAAGCCTCATAGGACAGTCAGAGGTGAATGAAAACTCCTACAAGATTAACCAATGCTTGGCCAGACTGATAGAAGTCACAAGACTGCTATATACTGCTGATGAGAAAAGGTATTTAAAGTTTATGTTTACTAAAATAATTGCATTTCCATGTTGTGTGTACTGTGAGAGACCAGATATAGTGAATGCAGGATCCGGGGTTTAGTAACACTTCAATCCAAATCATATAGTTTTTTCTACTGTACTAGTTTGAGACATTTTTGTGTATGTGTGTGCGTGTGTACATGTGTCTCTGTGCATGTGTGTACATATTGATGTGTGTGTATGTGTGTGTGTGTATGTACATGTCTGTGTGTGTGTACAGGTGTCTCTGTTTGTGTGTGTTTGTTGGTGGCGAGTAACTCTAAAGCCTGGCTAGTAGCTCATGACTTGAAATTTTAAGCCCTGCCATAACCTACTACCAAAGAATAACCTGATACTAATTTAAAAAAAAAAAACATGTAAATCCTGCCCAAAAAATACTGACCCTGACCTTTGACATTGACCTTGAACCAAACACTAACCCTGGCACTGACCTAGATCAAATCTTGATCTAGTTTTTGGGGTTTTTTTCTTTTTTTTTTACACACTGTTGTTTTTGTTTCCTTTGAGAGGAGAGAGAAATACAATGTATATCTCTTCTTCATTCAGACATAGAAAACACAAGGGCAAGCTTTACAGTGACTAATCACTGTTATAGCTAATCAGAGGCTATCACAGCGATTGAGTGACCTGGAGTTGGGAGTTCTAGGTAGTCCCGATCATTAATACGGGACCTGGGGCTCTCAGTGAGACCCCAGTCTCTGTTCTCCCAGCACAAAGACAGATATGCAAATGTGCGACCCCACAGAAAAAAGCCCAGTCCAGTGGAGTCACATTTTTCCATATGCTTAGTGGGAAGGAGTTAATCATTACTTATCTTAAGTAATGAAAAGGTTATTGCCAAATAAATGGGTCCAATAGCTGTGTAAAATTGATCTGGTCCATAGGAGATGTACAGGTACGTGAGGTGAAATAGGTAAACCATATTCTGAATGTTTTTTGTGTCTACTTTAGTAACTCAGTCCACCACTTTCCAGTAAATTAGCCAATTTTTCTGGTATTACCTGTTAATCCATTTTGAAACACTATTTTTTTATAAGATCTTTAAAAACTTTTTTAACTTCTTCATTTTTCAGACTGTAGATTACAGGGTTAAGCATAGGAACCAAAACAATATAAAGAAGGGCAAAGAACTTATCATGTTTTGGTAAATAATATGATGTGGGTCTCATATATGAACAAAGTAAAGTACTGTAAAACACAGTGACACAGATCAGGTGACCGGAACATGTCGAAAATGCTTTTCCCCGACCTTGTACAGATTTTATCTTTAGAATAGTAGAAATGATGAATGCATATGATCCTAAAGTAAAAAAGAAAGTTGCAATTCCAAGTATTGCTCCTTCAACATAAGTCAACAATTCTACACCATAGGTGTCACTGCAGGACATCTTTAACACTGGGACAAGGTCACAGAAAAAGTGATCAATGATACGGGATGCACAAAACTTCAGTTTAGATATAAGGACAGCATGTCCAGAAAGGTCCAAAAAAGCAACAATCCATGCAATTAAGGACAAACAAACACATAATCTTAAATCCATAATAACAACATAACTGAGAGGATCACAGATGGCTACATAGCGATCGTAGGCCATAATTGACAGCAGGATGGCTTCAGCACAAGATAAAGATAAAAAAAAATACAGCTGAGTTATACAGCCAGTAAATGAGATCGTGTTTTGTTTTGTACTTAGGATGGATAAAAGTTTGGGAAGAGTACATGAAGTGGAAGCAATATCAAGAATGCTAAGATTCACTAGAAAAGTATACATAGGAGTGTGCAGATGAGAATATGCCCAAATGACAGCAACAATGGTGAGGTTCCCACCCATAATGAGTAAATAGGCAACTAGAAAGAGAAGAAACACTGGGACCTGAAGCTCAGAAACACCAGAGAAACCTTGTATGGAAAATTCTGTTGCATTGGACTGTTCCATTTCCATTTGTTACTCCAGTGATAATTTGGAAAAATCAAGTTTGAACTGTAAATGGAATGTAAGAACTTGGTATATTTATAAGTACAAACCTTCTAGTCAATAGTTCTCTAAAGCACTAAATAAATAAAATAAAATAACATAAAGAACATTAAGACTTTGCTTAGTGGCAGGAACTTCAAAACTACCAGTTACCTAGAATAGGGTGTGTAAATCTAATCTTTGCTTTATTTAATCCTGGTGATACAATAGTTTTTGGGACTGGCAAAATATTTATATTTCCTGATACTTGGAATACTTGGAATACTTGGAATACTTCAGACTCCCTGGTCAACCAAGCTGAGCTTGTTGGCTTAGTGGGTCAGTGGTTAAACACTCAAAGTGGCTCTAAAGACAAACACTTTCTACCAGGGGCGGACTGACAAATCATGGGGCCCCTGGGCAATAGGGGATCATGGGGCCCCTGTGTCCTAGCCCACACTCAAACCACACCCAAAAAAGCCTATGAAAGGTACCAGGGGCATCTCATGGGGCCCCTTACTGACCCCAGGCCCTCGGGCAGTGCCCAAGTTCCCAAATGGTCAGTCCGCCCCTGCTTTCTACCTTAATGCATTCTCTACATTATGTTAAAAAAAACTTTAAATAGCTGCTCCCCCAGCTCCTCCTTATACACTTACCGTACCTGAGTCCATTCTCGATCCAAGACTGTGCCCATCAGCTTCAGCTCTTCCTTCTTCTTCCTGGTCTTACTGGGGGCTTTGACAGCAGTGTGGGAGCCATTGGCTATTGCTAATATCAATTAAAACCAGTGAAGGGAGAGCTGAGGTAGGGCAAAGCTGTGCTGTGTGTGTCTATGGACACACACAGTCCAACTCACAAATGCCCCTATAACAATTTATTTACTATGGGGGCACTCTCAGAAGAGAAGGAGCAGAACTTCTGCCCATGCTGCTGTCACAGGGAGGGAGGATCGGGCAGCGGCGGGAACATGTTACATGTTCCACCCTAAGAACAGGTGGAACATGTAATATGTTCCCAAAGGTGAACTTATCCTTTAACAATTTCTACTCTTCCATGCATCACTGTGAATGTTGTTGTATGACTGTAAAAACTTATATAAAGAATTGAAAAAAAACCTAATTTGTGTCTGTCCAAAGTACTAGCTAATATTTTGCGTTCCATAAAACTGGACAAAAGAAAAAAGCAAAAAATATGTTTTTTTATATTGGCTTTCTTGGAAATCTAATTTTTTTTACAATGTAACTTAAAGCGGAGTTCCACTCACTCTGTAAAAAATAAAAGTCAGCAGCTACAAAAACAGCCACTTACCTGTCCCACGATCCCGCGTTGCCCCCGCCACAGCCCGTTTCACCAGCTGTCTTGTAATCCAGGAGGTCGGCAACTTCAGTGTGGGCACCTGGCTGTGATAGCTTGCAGCTTCACAGCTGGGTACCCACTGCGCTAGCGCTGTAGCGCTGCACTTCCTGAATGGCCCCGTTGTCTTCTGGGACCTGTCACGTGTCTCACAAGACTTCGGGGAGGGAGGATAGGAGGACAACATCCACTTCCTATTGCCTAGGCGATCGCAACAGAAGTGGGAGCGGGTACCTGTCAAATTTGGGTACCTGCCCCCCCCCCCCCCCCCCGCTCCCCAAAGGTACCAATCCTTAATGGGGAGCGGGGAACCAATCTTTAAAGTGGAACTTTCCCTTTTGGGTGGAATACCGCTTTAAACTGTATCTGAAAAAATCTGAAGAATATATTTTTAAAAAATATATATTTTTAACCATTTCCCGTCCGAGCCCATGTATATAAACGGCCAGACGGTAGCAGTGCAGGGGAGGGTTGCCTTTCATAAACGGCACCCGCCATTTTAGCCTTTGTGCGCTCCCTGGGAGTGCACGGCACCGTGATCCAGTGCCCGCTGTGTCCGGAAGAACACAGCGGAACACCGATCGCTGTGCGGGACCTCTGTGTGAGGTCCCAATCATGTGATCACTGATTGGACAATTAGTGATCACATGAACAGTAATAAGCAAGATGTCACTTCTGACATCATTGCATACTCTCAGGGGCGGACTGACCATTTGGGAACTCGGGCACTGCCCGAGGGCCCTGGTCAGTAGGGGGCCCCGTGAGAAGCCCCTGGGACCTTTTCATAGGCTTTTTTGGGTGTGGTTTGATTGTGGGCAAAAGGTTACAGGGGCCCCATGATTCCCTATTGCCTGGGGGCCCCATGATTTGTCAGTCTGCCCCTGCTTACTACTAGTGAAATCTGTGAATGATCACAGAGATCACATGGTACAAGGCTATTCACAACAGCCTTGTACCATGTGACAAACTGTGACCAATCACAGCTCAGCACAGTATTTCCAAATGGCTTCAAGAATGCAGTCAGAGCGATGGAGAAATTTTTGCTTTTACAGCCTTTATGGGTGTAAAAGCAATCAGTGTAAAAAAAAAAAATCTTCATCAACACTGTACTGCTAGGGTGACAGTATGTTAAAAAAAAAAAAAAAAACATAAATAATAATATAAAAAAATAAAATAAAAATGTAAAACAAAATTAGAAAAATTTTAATTTTTGGTTATAAACTAATTTGGGTTATTTTATTTTACTAAAAAGATAGCTGAATACATTTTGGCCAAGATTTATGAAGAAAGGTTATTTAATATATAGTATTTAATATAAAGAAAATTTTATAAGAAAAACACTTTTTTAACAAATGTTTGAACTTTTTCATTTATATAGCAAAAAAATAAAAATCCCAGTGGTGAATAAATACCACCAAAATAAAGTTTTATCTGTCTCAAACAAATGCTAAAAAATTCATATGGGTACAGTGTTGCATGACCACACATTGTCATTCAAAGTGTGATAGCACTGAAAGCTGAAAATTGGCCTGGACAGGAAGGGGGTAAAAGTGTCCGGACTTAAAGTGGTTAAAAATATATATATATTAAATATATTCTTCAGATTCTGTAAACATATAAAAAAGTCATTTATTTATTTATTATATTTTTACATATATTTTAAATGCATTCCAAAAATGATTTGTATTGTTAAAGACATACAGTATATTTGAAAAGTAGTTTTAAAAATATTTTTCATATATTTTGTAATAAAAACGCATTTTAACATGCAGTGTGTATATATATATATATATATATATATATATATATATATATAAAACTATATTGAATATGGCCAAAATTGTAGCATTTCAAATATATGGCAATATATTTAGGAAGAATATTTTTAAACTAGAAAATCTACAATTTCTGGGGAAATTGTGTGAAGTTTTCTTGCCTCCACCAGTAGTCTACAACTGGAGTGGGCGGAGTAACTGGGTGGAGTGGCTTGAGTAACTATTGTGTGGTTGGAGTGGCTTGAGTAACTATTGTGTGGTTGGAGTGGCTGGAGTAACTGTGAAAAGTTTGGACTGGGCAGAGTAACTTTATGGAGTGGGCAGAGTAACTGTGTGGAGTGTTTGGAGTGAGTAAAGATAGTAAACATTACACTAACCAATTAATTGATCAAATTTAAAAAGTGCACGTGGCAAGCTTGATAGAGTGAGAAATGCATTTCAACTTTTATTTTTCAGCTCACACTCTAGCTTTAGTCACCCTGCTGCCTGCTCAGACACCTGGGTTCCTATGGCAAATCACTCTACAGCAAGGGCAGAGAAGAGCGGTTAAAAACAAACTGCTCCAACTTGCTCACTTCACTGGCGGTTGCCATCTTCAAACGGTTGTAGTTTAAAAATGATAAATCCTGCACCGAAGAGCTTTATATTGTAAGAATCACAAGACCCAGACCTACATTTTGATGCATAGTATGTCTCTGAAATATTAAAAATGAAGGCACAGTCGCAGTTTAGAAATTGCCCTTCAAATTTGAGGTGGCTAGAGTGGAGTTTCAATGAATGTCAATGGGTGGTGTGAGTTGCAAACAAATGGTCATATTGTGAAAACTATCAGGACTATGGCTTAGCCATTTTTAGTGGCAGCAGGGATAGCTGAACGTTTTGATATAAGATTGTGTAGGTGGGCTTGAAAATGAGGGAGTGATGGCAGTTTAGAAATCATGTCCTGATTTTTCAGCTCACACTCTAGCTTTTGTCAGCTCGCACTCTAGTTTTGAACATTCCGCCATTCATTCCTATGGGACCAATTTCACCACAAAAACGCTGATATTTTGTGAACCATTTGGCGAAACATTCCACAAAGTAATAGCACGCCAATCGGGAACAATCCGCACGTTTCGGTATATTACCATCTATGTAGTGTAAAAACTGTGGGAGGAGTTAGGGTGGTACATTTGGCTATAATAATAAGAATATGTATGTGAGATAACAGTAAGTGGTCTTGCCATGCAAGAACACTTAAATATATTTTCAAATATATTTTTCTCCATGTGGGAATATGCAGGAACATTTGTGGTTATCAAAATAGGTGAAACAATTGTGATTGTTCCACAGATGTTCCAGACATGGAAATTAAAATGTAACTTCACTTGTAGTAGACAAGCCTTGGCAAGTATCTCATTAAAAATGAATTTGCTATAGCAGAGGAATGCCTAAGAATTTACTTTTATATTAGTGCAGATATCTGAGAAAATCAGTGCACCTATCACAAAAGCAGAAATGGACCTTTCTGGCGTTATTGTGGACAACAATTGCCTCCAGGTTGCAATTTTGCATTGAATTTTCTTTTACATTTAAAAAAAAAAAAAAAAAAAAGCAGTGTAGATTGGGATATAAAGGTTTTATTAAATAAAAAAAATGGCTTGTGTAGCAATTTTATATTCTGTATTCATTTCTTAACATAAGTGGAGTTTTTTCTAAAGCATACTTCTATAAATATACACTGCATGGACTTAATTTCTTTATTCATAAAGATATATTAGCTGGTAGTGATGGCTTGAACCTCACTGACCCTGTGTGATTGCGTGTATATACAGTATGTGTGTGCATGTAATACCATCAGAACTGATAATACATACCTTAAAGATTTGGAATTTAATATGCAGCTTAATTAGATGATGAATGAAATGAAAGCAATGTAAAGAACTTGCTAAGTCGTCTGCTGCTGCACAATAGAAACGTTTAGAACTCCAGGGAAATCAATTGTTTAAAGTGAAATTCTGTTCAATTCTTAGA